GAGAGAGAGAGAGAGAGAGAGAGAGAGAGAGAGAGAGAGAGAGAGAGTCTGCTGTCACATCATACACACATAAAAAAATGCATCACTTCCCCTAGTCCTGTATGAGATCAGAGTCTCTACAGCCCCAAGACTGTCACTCAAACAGAGACAACTGATGTGGGCGGGGCTGTGACAACTCTCAAATCTGGCAAGTCAAATGTTTTCATTTGCAGGGAAAGCGAGCGTGTGTGTGTGTGTGTGTGTTTGGGTTTGTGAGCCATATGCAGTGCGCCAGGGAGGGCTCTCTGGAACATATTGGTGTGCGTACATAGTGGTTAATAATAGTAGCAGACGCATACAGCGATGGCAGCTCTGATGTGTGTGACAGTTTTACAGCCGCACACGCCAAGACACAGTCACACACATGTACACACACACACGTTCCCACAGCAGAGACGGAGACCTCCTCTGCCACCGAGCCCTCCGTCTTTGTTGAGTTCTCAATTTTATCACAGATCCTGATAAGTAAAAACAACCACTCCCCGCCCCTCCCGTACGCTCCATATGTGGACACACACACAAACCAAGCCACCCACCCACACCCACAAACCTACACAAACGCGTACAAATGTACATGCTTAAGCACCCTCCCATGTTGAATGCATAAAGTTCTTAAAGCAGGCAGGCACTCGCATACACTCAAATTCACGGATACACATGGCACACACACACACCCTCGCATATCCTCATCTCCCCTTCTGTCATATCTCATTGTTGCTTGCTTGTCTGTGGTGATGGTCGTGTTGTGCTGGGATGGCAGCTTTAAGTTTTGATAAGGAGGGGTGGTGGGGGAGGGATCAGTGACTGCACCCCACAGCGAGGTCTTAGCGACAGTAGGCAGCAGAAGACGCCCAACCTGTCGTGCCGATCGGTCTCTGGGGGAGGCGCAGAGAGAGATGGTGGGACGGCTACATCACTCTCAGCTCGGACGTCTGAGAGAGAGAGAGAGAGAGAGAGAGAGAGAGAGAGAGAGAGAGAGA